AATTGAGGTGAAATAACAGTTCATCCTGAAATTTCCTGGGGATTCGAACAATTCAGAATGTGGTGTTTCAGCTCACTCCCATTCAAGAAAAAAACACGTTCTCTTCTTTTAGGTTTAAAATTTTTGTTAGCCAGGCAAACAATTGTGAGTGGGGAAGCAGAGGCAAACAAATTTCTGTGAAATTGAGGCCAGCCTGGTTTACTTAGGGAGTTCCAGGCCAGCTGGGGCTACGAGGAGACCCTGTCTCAAAACCAATTTTTTTCATTATATACATTCACTGTACATAGTACTGTTAAAGGACACTTTCACAGAGTATGCTTTGTGGTTGGCCACGTTCCCCCTCCCCCTTCTCACTCCTCCCCTCGTAGGCCCCTTTGTCCCCCTAGAGAGTTTCACTTCAACTTTCATGACGTATATACACATGATTTTAATGTAACTATGTAAAATCTAGGACCCGCATAAAACAAGAAATTTTGTCTGAGCTTGGCTTAATTTGCTTAATAAGATTATCTCCACCCTTTTAAAAAGATTTTTTATACTTTATTTTGAAAAAGTTATTTATTTTTACTTTATGAGTGTTATGCCTGCATGTATATAAGTATACCCCTATTGTGCAATGCCCCTATTGCGCAATGCCTGTGGAGGACAGAAGAGGGTCTCAGATCTCCTGGAACTGGAGTTATAGATGGTTGTTAGCTGCCATGTGGGTGCTGAGATTTGAACCTGGGTCTTCTGCAAGAACAGCCAGTGCTTTTAACCATTAAGCCATCTCTCTAGCCCCTTAAAAAGATGTTTTATGTGTATGTTTTGCCTGCATGTGTGTAACTGCACCATGCATATGGAATGCCTGTGGAGGTCAGAAGAGGGTGTTGGATCCCCTGGAGCTGGAGTTACAATAAGTTGTTAGCGGCTATGTGGGTGCTGGGATTTGAACCTGGGTCTTCTGCAAGAACAGCCAGTGCTCTTAGCCACTGAGATATCTCTTCAACCCCTCTCCATTGTTTTTAGAGATAGGGTCTCAAGTAGCCCAGGCTGGACTCAAACTTGCTACATAGCCCAGACTGACCTTGAACTTCTGATTCACCTGTCTCTATCTCCTAAGTATTAGGATTACAAATTTGAGCCACCACACATGGCTTGGATTTTAATTTTTAAAACTGAACTCATGCTTGTCAAGGGCTTGTCTCTGGATGAGCAGTCACTGACTGTCATTCATGTTTCCTCCTGCTTGTCTTTTGTGATACTGTCTTATACTTGGAACATGCCCTGTGTGAGATGGAGTGAGTTTTACGTCTTGTTGAAGTTTAACTCATTGATATTTAATTTAAAAGATGGAACTGGTATGCCCATTTGCAAAAACATGGTTGAGTGGGACTGTATTTCACTTGAACTGTTGAAAATTTAATGTCCGAATTGAGACTTATAGTTGAAAATCTAATCAAACCCATGGGCCCTCTACTTGAAGAGATGCATTCACTTACAACATAGTTACTGCTTCAGCGTGCTCCCAGTCACCTAGATGCATCTGAGGAAAATGGGTAAAAAACTCCAGGACCTGATGTTGTTCCCAACATTAACTTTTATGCTCTCAAAACTCAAGAGATATAGTCAAATTTTATCTCTTTGCTAATTTGGATGGTCCATGAGGAAAGTTTTTTCACACTAAAGTTACTAAATATACAGACCAGACTAATAGAGTTGTGTTTTTGAGAAGCGAGGATTAGAAATAAAATAACAGAGCCAAGCATTGTGACACAGGCCTGTGTGTGGGCAGAGGCAGAGGGGAAGGCAAGCCCACGGCTGCCACCAGTAGTCTGAGGCAGTCACATCCCTCTGGAACTTCTACTGTAGTAGTAAAGCCAGATCCTGATGACACCACAGAAAAGAATTTCAGGACCAGTCTGAGTGAAGCAGTGAGAGTTAACTGTTTTCTGTTGCTGTGATAAAACACCATGACCAAGGAAACTCAGGAGGAAGCGTTTATTTGGCTTACAGTTCCAAAGAGATAAGAGTCCATCATGGTGAAGAGGCATGGAGGCAGAGGTGGCCAGAGCAGAAAGCCAATCACTCACATCTTCAACCATCCACAGGAAGTAGAGAGTGAAACTGGAAGTGAGCAAGACTGCAGCCCAATGCCAGTGACTTGCTTCCTCCACCAAGGCCATACTCAAACCTCCCAAAACAGAGCCATCAACTGCGGACCAAGGGTTCAAATACTTGGAGCCTCTGGGGGACATTTTCATTCAAACCACCATATATAATAAGGCGTTAGATTTAAGCACCGGTATCCACAGAGAGAGACATAAGAAAAGGCTAATTATGTACCCAACACACATGTGGGGCTTCTTAAGAGTCCTGCTTGGGTATCCATGATGGCTATATATTTGATTCTGGGTCTTTCTGAGTTACAGTACTCAAAGAATGTAACTTACAAGCTTTAAAGACTAAGCAAAGTTTTTAAAATTTATTATTTTTTTTATGTGTATGAGTGTATTGCCTGCATGTGCACAAGTGCACCAGTGTCATGCAGTGCCCTTGGAGGACAGAAGAGGGTTTCAGATCCCCTGGAACTGGAGTTATGGAAGATTATTAGCCACCATGTGGATGCTGGGAATTGAACCCAGGTCCTCTGCAAGAGCAGTCAGTGCTCTTATCTGCTGAGCCATCTCTCCAGTCCCAAGATTAAGTTAAAAATACATGGGTTAATTTATTTTTATCATAAAGACTTCCTTTGTAAATGAAATTCCATGGTGGTTTTATGAGGTACATTGCTTAGATTTGGGATGAGAACTTTAGACCACAAATATTTCTGGTCCCAAGTAAGCATAATCCATATTTTGATTTGCTTTAATTGGCTTTTTTCATTTGTTGTGTTTAATGTCCTTGCTTGAGATATACCAGGTTACTTTTCCAGGCAAGATGCAAACAAATGTCTATTCACCTTAGGCTTAGGTACCAAAGACTGATCAAAGAGAAAATTCCATCCAACTTCAATTAGGTGAACCAGTGAGTTCATTGGGTTTCCTTTCAGGACATGGGTGAGGGTTGCTCACAGATGAGTGTGTTAGGGATTAATTACAGGAGCTTGGGTGAGGTGTTTTTCACAAGGGTGTGGGAGACCCCCAAGGAGCTGCATCATGGAAAAGTGCCACCCAGTATGAGTGACCACCTCTGAAAAGCAGCATATAGATGGAGTCCCACTTCAGTTAACTTTCCATTTCCCGAACCTCTGGGCAGAATTACACATAGCTAGAATGGGGGTGCATGGGAGAGTGGGTGGACAGTGTCTCAGGTGAGGGTCTAATAGCCCCTTCTTCTATGAGGGAAAGTCAACAGGCTGGATATTGTTAGGGTCATGTATGGCGGGTGGTCACAGTTGTTCTGTTTAAGATGCTAATGACCATGTTAGGCTCAGAGTATGCATTTCCACAAGGCCCTGGAAACTGGGATGTTGCCTCAGTGTAGGCAATCTTGGCTTTATAGGTTGTGTTGAAATTACTGACACCCAGTCAGATTTCAGAGGGCTTTTTGGGCACCTTAGGCAAGAAGATGGAAAGTTCAAGACTAGTCTGAACTACAGAGTGAGTTCAAGGTCAGTCTGGACAATTTAATGGGACCCAGTCACAAAATAAATAAGAGTTGGGGCTGGAGAAATGGCTCAGTGGTTAAGAGCACTAGCTGCTCTTGCAGAGGACCTGGGTTCGATTCCCAGCACCCACATGGTGCTAACAACCATCTGAAACTCCAGTTCCAGGGGATCCAATGCAACACGGATGCACTTACATACATGCAAGCAATACACCCATACACGTAAAATAAAAAAAAATAAGAGTGCTAAAGTTATAGCTTAATGGTGGAGAGCTTACCTAGCAAGTACAATTCTAATGTCCACTACCCAAACCAACCCTATCCCCCCCTTCAACAACAACAAAAAACGCATAAAAAATACGCTCCCACACATGTGAGGCACGACTCCAGTTGGAGGCCAGCCTGGGTTACCAGTAAAAACTTGTTTCAAAAAGGGGGTGGGAGGCGGCCGCAGTAAAATAATGTAAGATGTGATCAAGAATGCATAATTGTTTCTATCCAGGCCTACAGAAGCTGCAGCTCTGCGGTTGGGGCCAAGAACTTAAGAGGCCTCCCAGTGGTCTTTTTAATGCTGAAAATCACCGCCTCACTCTGACCTGGAAGGCAGAATAGAGCGCTGGTTCTAAGTGTTGAATTGAAGGCTGTCACTGAGCTGGAGGCCGGGAGAGCAGCCAGCTTAGTGGAGGCGTTGCATCTGGGCCATCGAAAGCGAAGGCTGGGTGGCCCGTAGCGTGCAGGGAAAGCAGCAACAGCCAGCGCCAGTGAACACCCGACCGCTCGGTCCACCCGCGCCCGGGAGACCCCTACTTCCGGTCCTCCAGAATATTAACCATAACCCTCAAATCAGCGCCCTGCGGTTCTTCAGGCGTTCAGCGCGTAGCCATGGAGACTGGAAGGGCGAATCCAAACGCAACCTGTTTCTGGATCATATCATGCGTTACAAAGGGCCTAGAAAAAACAGAATTCTTTCTCAAAAATGGAAAAATTATGAAGGATTCAGGCCGTGATGCTGCTGACGTAGGTCCCAGCAACGGCCGTGGACTCATTCTAGAAAGGGTCAGGGCCTTAAAATTGGGGCAGGGCGGGGCAAACCCCGGCTTCTCACTTCCGGCCCCAACCAACTGGACCGGAAACGCTCAGCGAGTCAGCATCCTGGTTTCCTTCTGGCAGTGTCCCGGTTGCCATGGAGACGCGATGCTCAAGCTCAAGCCTAAACACGGAGTGCTGCTCTGGCCCCAAGCTCCGTTACTGTTAATTAGAGTCCCGCCTATCTCCAGCTCTCCCAGCCCTGGCTCTGGCAGGCGAGATCATTCTAGAAGGGGTGTGAGTTACTAAGGAGGGACGCTCCAGGTCGGGCACTTCCGGGTCCCAACCAATAGGAACTGTAGCTAATCAGCCAATCAAGACTCTGCTCTTCTTCCCGCGTTCCACCGGTTGCCTTGGAGACGGAGTGGGCGCATCCAAGCGTCTAGGGGAGCTGCGCTCCAGGACCGCGGGGCTTCTAGTCCTCCAGGTGGGCCGGGCGCGGTCTGTTTCCCCCGGGCCGCGCTGTGGCCTGCTCCGCCGGGAGGCCAGACTGCTCTGGACCAAGCCCAGCTCACCCGTCGCTTGTCCCCACCATCCTCCAGGTGGGTGAGCAGTGGCTCCGAGGCCTCCGTGGCCGGGGAGAGCCAGGCTCCGTCTTGCGCTGGGGTTATATCCCTGACCAGCTTCATCCCGGTGGGGTTCAGATGCACTGGTCGCTTCCTCCAGGACCTGGGTGCAGGGGCACCAGGGATATGAGAACTCCCTGGTTCGAGAGCTCAAACTTATGAACGCCACTTCCTCAACCCCAGAGTGGGCTGCGAAGACGCGGGATCACAGCGTGTTTGATGCTCCCAACTGCTTGGGGTGGTCATGAACCCCCAGCCTGGTTGATGTTGGTGCTCCCCACCACTTGTGATGGTCATGAACCCCAGCCTGGTTTATGTCCATGGTCCTTGATGACTGTGATGGTCGTGAGCCCCCAGCCTGGTTCATGTCTGTGCTCCTTAACTGGTTGAAGTTGAAGTTCATGAACCTGGCCAGGCATTGGAAGCTGCCAACTTGCTGCCTCAAGCTTCCCGGTACCCAAATGGTAGGAGATCTAAGTGGGATTCCTAGCTTGCAGTATTCAGTCTGTAAGTGCTGTGAGGAGGAGCATTTGCTGAGTTTTGAGCACCCTGCCTACAACTGTTCAGTCTTTAAGAATATTGGTTGGGTCAGCCATGCAAATTTAAAGAGGGCACAAACTCAGAGGCTTGAATTAACTGATTGAAAGTCTTAAATTTTAAAATTACATTTATTTATGTGTGTATGTGTGTGCATGCATGTCCCACTGAACATGCGGAGGTCAGAGGACAAACTTGTGGGAGTCAGAACTCTCCTTCCACCATGTGGTCCCAGGGAATCAAACTCAGGTTATCAGACTTGGTAGCAGTTGCCTTTAATGCTGAGCCATCTTGCCTACCCAGTTTCTACGGTCTTGATATGTAGATTATTCCTCCCTAAGGAATACAAGTGCATGAAAGATTCTGAGAGTAAACACTTTGATTCTATTGCAAATATGTAGCTTCAGATACCAATTCCACTGTTTAGCTTCAGTTCTAAATGCCATCTAGTCTGATTTCAAAACTGTATGGAACCTTATCCATTCAAGAAAAAGAAAGGTGAATGTTGCCTAAGAATTTCAACTCAACTGCTACCAGCCACTCCTGTGGGGCATGCCCAGCCTTTTTTATTTTATTTATTATTTTTATTTTTATGTGTATGCACGTATTGCTTGTATGTAGGCAAGTGCACCTGTGTCATGCAATGCCCATGGAGGACAGAAGAGGCTGTCAGATCCCCTGGAACTGGAGTTATGGACGGTTGTTAGCTGCCATGTGGGTACTGGGATTCGAACTTGGGTCTTCTGCAAGAACATTCAGTGTTCTTAACTGCTGAGCCATCTCTCTAGCCCCAGTGTCCAGCCTTTTGAAAGTGTAACTCAGTTGTCATTTACAAAGTTCACGCTCGAACTGCACAATCGAATTACTTTTAAAAATTGTAAAAAAACAAAAACCATATTATAAATTTATGATTTTGTGTTGAGCCACATTCATAGCTGTCCTGGGGTGCATGTGGGATATGTCCACATGAAGGATGTTAAAAAGATTGGTTATAATTTTTTTTTTTTTTGCTGGGCATGGTGGCATATTCCTTTAATCTCAGCACTTGGGAGGCAGAGGCAGGTGGATCTCTGTGAGATTGAGGCCAGCCTGGTCTACATAGTGAGTTCCAGGTCAGCTGAAGCTACAGGGAGACCCTGTCTCAAAAACACAAAACAAAAAACTTGATTTAAAATGGGCGTTGACAAACTTAAACAAAAATATTACATTTTCTTTTATGTGTGTATGTGCCTGGGTGGGTTGTGTTTGGGTGAACATGTACACACTTGTGGAAGTCAGAGAACAACTTGGGTATCACACTCAGGTTGTTAGACTTGGTGGCAGGCGCCCCTGTCTGTTGAGCCATCTTCTCAGACACAACAGACTTTCTGTAAAAGGTGGATAGTGGTGGTTAACAAAAATATTACATTTTCTTTTATGTGTGTATGTGCCTGGGTGGGTTGTGTTTGGGTGAACATGTACACACTTGTGGAAGTCAGAGAACAACTTGGGTATCACACTCAGGTTGTTAGACTTGGTGGCAGGCGCCCCTGTCTGTTGAGCCATCTTCTCAGACACAACAGACTTTCTGTAAAAGGTGGATAGTGGTGGTTTCAGGCTTCTGGAAGTCCAAAGTTTTTTTTTTTTTTTTCCCTGCATTTCTTTTCTTGATAGTAGTAATGATTCTGACTAGGCAAATTGGAATTTCAGTGTTCTTTTAAAATAAGAGTGATACTAAGGTACAGTGGAGCGAAATCTCACTCATTCCCTGAATTTGCTACTTGTGTTAAAAATAACTGCTATTTTCTCTATTTCTGTTAAGATCTTGTTGGGATGAAGTTGAATATTGGTCTGTGGGTTGTCTTTCATATAGCTTTGTTTATTCTATAAAAAGAACAATTTTAGTCTCCAATACTATTAGGTGGAACCTCTGAATTTATGAAATCATCAGACTTATTTACATGCTAAATATCCTAGGTTAATTAATAGTGATTAGTGTGCATTTATCCCTCTCATTTATGTACTCTTCATTAGCTGGAGATGCTGTTTTAGCACATATAAGAAATCATCCGTGACATGGAAAATTTCATCCTGTATGAGGAGATTGGCAGAGGCAGCAAAACTGTTGTCTATAAAGGGCGTCGGAAGGGAACCATCAATTTTGTCGCCATTCTTTGTACTGAAAAGTATAAACGGCCTGAAATAACCAACTGGGTAAGTCATGAGTGTCTTTACGCACCTATGGGAGTTGGAGCTATAATCAGAAAGATCTGGAAATTCCAGTATAGTGATACATGCATGTCATCCATTACTCAGGAGGTGGAGACAGGAGGATTGAGAGTTCAAGGCCAGCCTGGACTACATAGTGTGACCCTGTCTCAAAAAACCAAGGGGTAAGCTGGTGTAGTGGCGCATGCCTTTAATCCCAAATCCCAGGCAGAGTCAGACAGATCTCTGTGAGACAGAGGACAGCGTGGTCTAGGCTAGCTAAGGCTGTCTCAAAAAACCACCATGACCACCACCACCAAAAAGCAAGACCTCCAAAGCACCATAAAAAACAAGGGATGGAATGGTTGCCTGTGCTCAAGTTCCTGAATTCAGTTCCTAGCACTCATATAGACAGACAGACAGATAGAGCAACAAAATAAAATTATCATGTAAACAGAAGCAATTGAGCATACTCTTTCAAATGCCACATTTCAGTCTGTAATGTGACCCTTTGTCTGCTCAGTGCCATTCGTCCTGAGTAGCAAGTGATCAATACATGTAGATAGCTCTTTTAGTTTTGGTATCAGGGAATCTATATTAGACATTTACTTTTATTTATTTTTTAATATTTTATTTTTTATTTTTATTTTTTGTGTATGCGTGTTTTGCCTACATGTATGTAAGGGTACTACATGCATGCAGTGCCCCCACAGAGGCCAGAGGAGGGTGTTGGATCCTCTGGAACTGGAGTTATGGATGGTTGTTAGCTGACGTGGGTGCTGGGAATTGAACCTGAGTCATTTCCAAGAGCAGCCACAGTGCTCTTAACTGCTGAGCTATGGCTCCAGCCCCAGACATTTATTTACCTTCAAAAGTTAGTGTATGAGGGCCAGTGAGGTGGCTCAGCAGGTAAAGACTCTTCTCACTAGGCCTGATGACCTGAATTCAATCCCTGGGATTCACATGATGGAAGGAGAGAACCAATTTTTGAAAGTTGTGGCACCCCCTCAACAGTTCCCCCCAAAATAAATAAAAATGAAAAAGTTAGTGTATGGCTATGAAGCTTTCTGAGGCAAGAACCCTGAGGCCTGCTTTGAAGCAACTGACTCACATTTCCTGGACCATACCTAGCTTTTTTCTTTTTTCATATTGTGTTACACAGTATAAAATTTTGTATTGTGAAATTTGTTGCCTTCATGTGCTCTGCACCACAGGTCTCTGTGTAACTGTGTGTGCTTCACCACCATGTGCTCTGCACTGTCAGGTCCCAACTGAGTTTGATGACTTTTTGAGAGATATGTACAGTCGTGCAGTCCTTCTCCAAATCAAGGTGTAGAGGATGTCCATCTTTCCAGAAAAAGCCAAAGGCCCCTTCCGGCACCTCATCCCACAACCCCCTCCTAGACCTGATGGGGACCTGAATATTCAATATTGCTATTATTATTTAAGCATTTTTGTTACATTTATTTGTTGTGCACATGTGTGTGTGAGCATGTGCATATGTGTGAGCACATGTGTGCCAGAGCATGCCTGTAGAGTCAGAGGACAACTTTTGGGAGTCTGTTCTGTCCTTCCATAATATGAGTTCCAAACTCAGGGTCTCAGGCTTGGTGGCAAGCACCTTTACCTGTTAGCCATCTTGCTGGCCCAGTGCATTTTCTGTATTATAAGAACATATTTATACTTCTTTTTTTTTTTTTTTGGTCTTTTTGAGACAGGGTCTCCCTGTATCCCCAGCTGTCCTGGAACTCATTCTGTAGACCAGGCTGGCCTTGAACTCACAGAGATCCGCCTGCCTCTGCCTCCCGAGTGCTGGGACTAAAGGCGTGCGCCACCACGCCCAGCTGTACTTCATTTTGTTGGAAGGAATCTGCATGCACGGGTGGCCAACAGGCTATTCTGAGTTAACCTTAAATCTAGATGCCATCTGTATTAGTCAGGGTTCTCCAAAGAAACAGAACCGGTAGAATGAATATATGTGTATAGAGATTTATCAGCTTAGCTCACAGGACAGAGTCCGAGTAGTCCTACAATGGCCGCACCACACTGGAGAGGCTGAGAATCCGTAGTTGCTCAGTCCACAAGGCTGGATGTCTCAGTAGTCCCAATCTGGCACTGAAGGTCTGACAAATTCCAAAAGATCAGCTAGTCTTCAGTCTACAGCAGCAAGACAAACTCACCAGCGAGAGAGAAGGCAAGCAGCAAGAAGCCCAGCATTCTCCTCTGCCATGGCCTTTTATACGGGCTGCCATCAGAAGGTAACGCCCACATTTAGGGCGTGTCTTCCAGCTTCAGATGATCCAATCAAGAAGATCTCTCTCATTTCAGTTAATCCCAGACCCAGTCAAGTTGACACCTAGGATTAGCTATCACACCATCCAACTTGGAGGCTGAGAAGCAATGTAAGACTGGGTGGCCATGGTGTTTGTGAAGCCTCCTGCTATATACACACACACACACACACACACACACACACACACACACACACACGAGGAAGGTGATAAAGAAGACAAAACCAAACTTGGATTGATTGCCTGCTCCCTCCTTCTCCTGTAAGCTCTTTGAATGAGGCAGAGATTAAGGATTCAGCTCCTGGTTCTGTGCATGTGGTGGGCCGAGAGGGCTGCTCACATGTCATTATTTCTGCTAGTGTATGATAGCTTCGCTTGTTCTTGAACCTCAAATGAGTGAATCGCTGGTGTGGCTCTCCTGTGTGTCCCTTTCCTTAAGACCATTTTTTGAGACTTACCAGTTTTTAATTTATTGTTTTTATTTTTTATGTATGAGTATATTGCCTGCATGTATGTAAAGGCACCTATGTTGTGCAATGCCTGTAGAGGTCAGAAGAGGGCGTCAGATCCCCTGGAAGTGGAGTTAGGATGGTTGTCAGCTACCATGTTGGTGCTAGAATTGAACCCAGGTCCTGCACAAGCAGCCAGTGCTCTTAACCACTGAGCCATCTCTCCAGCCCCTGGAGCTATTTCTTTGGTCATGAATTAGATATAAGGTATGAGGGTTGTGGTCACCGGCTGTGGCTGCTCTCCTCCGGCTATGGCCACTCTCCTGCTCTCACCCCAGGGCTGGTGAGGAGTCTGCGCCGCATTCAGATGCAGGAGACCAGGTTCAGTGACACAGATCTGCTTTATTGCAGGAAGGCACAAGCTTATATAGGGATAGTGGTCCAATCACAGCACAGCAAGTAGGATACTTTATTAGCATAACAGGTTTAGCATCCTGTCACAGTACAGCAAGTAGGATACCTTGATTCCAGGGGTGGTGATTAGGGAGTGGTGAGCTCTAGGCATCAGTCCCATGATCTGCCAATGGGAGCAAAATGTCATAAGGCATTCTTTGTGGCTCCAGCAGTCAGGCCGTTGCCTCAGGCCTGCTATATAGCTGTGATAAGACTTTCACCCTAGGCTCAAGCCTGTCTTCCACAGAGGGTGAAGCAATGACAATTTTGGGGACTGGGCTGAGTGAATGGTGATGCCTTTTATTGTTTTATTTTTTGGTCTTTCTGAGTCCCTGTAGTCCCAGCTGGCCTGGAACTCACAGAGGTCTGCCATCCTCTGCCTCCGAGTGCTGGGATTAAAGGCGAGTGCCACCGCGCCTGGCAGATGCCTTTTACTGAGGGAAGAAACCTTAGGAGAAGGGTGGCTTTGATACTTTAATTTTGACAATTTAACTTGACAGTGAATTTGTAAAGAAGACTTTGGATACTTGAGTCTAATTTAGAGGCAACTCTGGGGCAGAGGTGCAATTTGAGCATCATCAGCTTACAGATGCTAAATCAGTGTGACGGGACTGAGCACCATTTCTGTGACACGTAGAATGTGTAAAGAGACAAAGACCCAGCACGAGAGCAGAAGAAAGCACCAGGGTATGGTGAGCTGGAGAGCAAATGGGCTAACCACCTTAGGGTGACGGCTTCACCCTCTCTGAGCCCACACTGACAGGCTCTGGGAAGCTGCAACTGTAGTTCCTGGACTCCTTGGAGCTAGAGTTCTAGATGTGATTCTAATCCTGCATACTGGATGCACTGGAAGGAGGCTTGTGTTGCACACTGATAAGTGTGCAGGGAGATAGGCCCCGTGCAACCACCTGCCTGAAGAGCTCAGGGCCTGTGGTTCCAAAGAAGAGGCAGAGGCCACAGTCCAGAGCTGCCACCTGTGACAACTATGCTAGCAGGGTCCTGGAGTGTCAGGGGCCGGCTACTCCCTTGGTGGCTCAGTTTTGTGGTGTGGTTTTGGGACTCTTCTGGAAGTTCATCCTAGGTGCTCTTTCCTGAACCTTCCTGACAGTTGTGTGAGTTACCTATGCCTCATTGGAGTTCTTTTGTAACCAGAGTGAATTCTGTTTTCTGTAACTCAAGGCATTGGACAAATGTGTGGCCCCGTGGAGGTCAATGAAAGAGCTTCAGGGAGAAGAGAGAAGTCATCTGTGGAGTCAGCTGATGAAGTGAAGGCCGAGGGCAGGATGGAGAGGAGACCTGTGGTCTTCAAGACAAGGCTTCGGGGAACTGACAGGGACGGAAGCTGGAGGTGGGGTAGCGGGACGGGAGGAGAAGGTGGACAGCACTCTGGCATTGCGCTGTATCAGGGACTAGAGAAAGGGGATAAGTGCTGGGTGGGTACCCGAGGCTAAGATGGAAAGAACTTTGGGCTGCTGACCCTTGATGGGGACCTTTGTTTTCTCTTATGTGAAGCAAGTCCACCATGTGTAAGCTGGTCCCACCTATCATCTGTCCCCCTTGTCCTTACTGCTTTGTTCTGTGCTCAAGGCCCTTTTAGAGCCTCTCGGTGGTCACTTCAGCTTGACCCTCCTTGGCAGCTTTCTGGGTGGGTAGAAGGCAAAGGATTGATCAGAAGTTAGTTGGTGTCTTGAGTAAAACCCCTTTAAAGGTTTCCTATCTCAGTCAGTGACTTCCTTAATATCTTGCTGGTGTCTGGAGAAGGCAAGGAAATGGTTTCTGGTTAGGCACAAGGCTGCCTTTGGCAAAACAGAGTTCTCTTACTAATGACATAGGTGAGGTGGATGTTAGGTAAGCTGCTAGGAACCTTTTGGCAGAGTATAATCATTGCAGAATGTTTGTATACTGTGGAGAAAGACCAGCAGGAGAAAATTAGACTGTGTGGATGAGGGGAGAGGAGATGGCAGAGAAATATGCTGGAGAGAGAGAGATGGGATCCTGTGCAGTTCAGGAGGAGGTGGTGTTGGCTTTTGAAAAGAATGATGACAGTTGTGGTAGGTGGACCTAGGAGATGAGATGCAGGTGGCCTAGGGGATTGTCCATTTTGCTCTGTGATGCTAGGCAGTGGCAGGAACCGCAGTTCCCAGCATGCCATGCAGTCATGTGCAGGAGCAGATCCGCCAGTGCTCCATGTGACTATATTCTTGGCATGTTTTGGACATTGAATTTGGTTCTTTTCTCATTCCATCATGTCTACAAAAATACATGCTGTGTAGGTCAGCTATTGGACAACTGACTGTGAAATAGACCCTGTGTTGTAAGCGTAGTTTAAGTGGGCAGGGCTAAGCCATGCTTGTGGGTGAGGTATGCGAACTATATCTTAGAAATACGATGTTTTCAGCTTCCATTGGGTTTATTGTGCATAATGCCATTGCAAATTCATAGAACACCTGTAGTTCCACCAATGAAAGTAGCTGTTCTGGTCTTTACTATTGATTGTGTACTATAAATTATGCTTTTGCAATTTGTGTTTACACAGATACATTGTTCGTTAAGGTCACACATCATTTGCAGTTTTTCCTTTGGCCAGCCTTGGGAATCATCTTTTGTAATGGCTGTAAACAAACCCCATGGTTTTCTCTTCTGCTCTTCAATTGTAGTTAGGTGTTTCTTAAATGCAAGTGTTTAAGAACTTTTATTAAGGAGTGAATGCTAGATGATGTTTTCATAGGTCCGTCTCACTCATGAAATTAAACACAAGAACATTGTGACTTTTCACGAATGGTATGAGACCAGCAATCATCTCTGGATGGTGGTGGAGCTGTGCACAGGTAAGAGCACGAGATGTGGCATGCATGGAGCCATCTTGTACCATGTTGGTTAGAGGGCCTGCTCCGCTGGGTCCTCCTCTGTCTCTACTGCCACAAAGCTTGGGTGTGCTGTCTCGGTCATTTTATTTTATTTTTTAAAATTATTATTTTTTATTTTATGTGCATGAGTGTTTGCCTGCTGTATGTATAGTGGCAGTGGAGGCCAGAAGAGGGCATTGGATCCCCTGGAACTGGAGTTATGAATGGCTGCCATGTGGGTGCTGAGAACCAAAACCTGGGTCCTCTGTAAGAACAGCCAGCGCTCATAGTTACTGAGTCATCTCTCCAGTCCCAGCATCTCCTAAATTTTAAATATGAGACAAAATCAGTGTCTTGGTCATTTTTTAAATGCTTCCCTCTGTGGTGTTGGTGAGGATGAATGATCTGAATCAATTTCTTGCAGGTGGTTCTTTAGCGACAGTGATTGCTCAGGATGAAAACCTTCCTGAAGATGTTGTGAGAGAATTCGGGGTTGACCTGATCACTGGGTTGCACCATCTCCACAAGCTTAACATCCTCTTCTGTGACCTTTCTCCTGGGAAGGTGAGCCCCAAATTCCGATTTCCTAATGGCTGTGTCTTACTTCAGAGTGCTTTCTCAATGATACTGTTTTATTTTTAAGTAAAATGAACTACATAGTACCTACATACAGCTGCCTATTTAAGTAGCTTTTAGGACATAGAGCCTTTCTTTCCTACAGAGCTCTTGCTGCTTATGTACTGTGAATGATGAATCCAGTGTGTATGTCCGTCTATAAGACTCTGAGCTCTTGTAGCCTAGTATTTATTTATGACCATGACTTAAGTTTGACAGTGTCATTCCAAACTGTACACATGATTCCTGATACTCTAGATCAAATCTTTTTTTTTAACATTACTTGCAAATGTGTTTATGTGAGTTGTGACCCTCTTCCTCTTGTGGCCTGCCCCCAGGCTGACACATGGAAGCTACATTGATCCTGCAGAAGGCACCCTGCATCCCCTGCCATGGCTTCCATCTCTGTGATGTTTGCAGTGTGGTTATGAGGATTGTGTATCACCTGTAGGTTAAACTTTTAGGGCACTTTCTGGTAGCGTGCTCAAAATCAACGGTGGCCCGCACTGTTTTATGTGTGCACGCTCTTAGCAATGTGCACATCCATGTTGCAGTGCAGTGAAAGCTGAGTGTTTGATTTGCGGATTTGTTTTTATAGGCCATCTGTACAAGAAAATAATTAAAACTAATAAGGGTAACTCTATAAAAGCCTTGTGTAACACACCAGAGTTCTTGTTTGAATTATTCATAGACTTAACCCCAGTCTGCTGCCATTCAACTGTCATTAGTGGGAAAAGCAGCTATGGACAGTATGCAACTGTGTGGCTGTTTCAGTAACTTTATAAATTTATTTATGAATTTATTTGAATTTCATAGAATTTTCACATGTCAATAACTACACAGAGCTGGGCATAGTGGCTAATGCCTGTAATCTCAGCACTTGGGAGGCTGAGACAGGAGGATTGTCATGAGTTCAAGGCTAGCCTGGTGTACATAGTTCCAGGGGACAGCCTGGACAGCAGATCCCATCCCCCAAACAAAAAACAAAACCAACCTCTCAAAGAAAAAAAAATACAAAAACACACAATGCTTATTTACTTTTTAAAACCATTTAGAAATATAAAAAATACTCTTGGTTCACAACTGTATGAAAACAGGCAGGGCTGTGGCAATTTGGGCCTGAGGCTGTATGTGGGTGTCAGTTAATGAAGTTTACTGTGACATATTCAAGCTGGTTTGTCATGTACTCTGTGCTCTATAAAACAAGGATTGTGAAAGGTTGGGCAGGATTCCTGTTACTACTAATAAAGTTTTATTAAAACACAGCCCTGACCCTGGCTTATATGTTGCCAGTGGTTGCTGTTTTACAACAGTAGAATTGTGGAATCAGGACAAAGATGGGATCAGACGTTGTCATGGTTTACTAACAGACATCCTTAGTAAGTATTAGTGTCTAGAAGTTAAGGGCCAACTGCAAATTGCTTTTCAAAACAGAAAAGTCACAAGACCCATTGCAATTGTCCAGGAATATTTTGAATGACTTGGAGGAAATGACATCACTTTCTGGAGTGGTTTCCACAGTCACCAGCCAACCTCTGATCACAGGCTACCTTGGCAGACTTGAGTCAGTCACAGCCCTTTGCCTGTACGACTTCAGAGAATCCCTGTGACAGTTGCAAGAGTTAGGCATTACTTTTCCCATTGTACATGTGAAGCAACAGTCCTGGAGGAGGTTGCTAAGTCCTCTAGGGTCAGACAATAGGTAAGAGGAGGATGTGGGCTTCAAACCCAGCTCTCTAAAGTACCCCAGTTTTAACTCCACATTTTTCTTCCTCTCTTGACTTCATCAGGCAGATGAGTTTTCAGATCCTCTTACAGATGTCACTGAGGATTGGTCAGTATGGGCTTCTCTGTAAACACCCATCCCAGGTGTTTGTGGGGAATTAGACCTAGGACCCCTCAAATACCCAAATCCAGATGCTCAAGCTTCACAATAGAATGGTGTAGCATTTGCATGCAACTATGCACATCTTCCTGTGTGTACGTTTAAGTCATCTTTACATTAATTAAAATTTTTTACACTTATATTTTTGTGTATGTGTGAGTGTGCTGCAGTGCACATGTGGAGATCAGGAGTTGATAACCTGTGAGAGTCATTTCTCTCTTTCCACCATGTGGGGCCTGGGGATCCAACTCAGGTCCTGAGTCTTGGCAACAAGTGCCTTTACCTATTGGAGCATCTTACCAGCCCTTTATATTACTTTTAATACCTAATACAATGTGAATGCTGTGCTCTGTAAATAGTTACATTGTATTATCTTGGGTTAATGGCAGGAAAGATCTGTCTGTACATGTTTCGTATCGACACTATGTTTTTTAGAGATGAGGTTTCCCTGTAGTCCTAGCTGGTCTGGGACTCACTATGTAGATCAGGCTGGCCTCAGTCTCACAGAGATCTACCTACCTCTGCCTCCCAAGTGCTGGGATTAAAGGTGTGCACCACCACACTTGGCTAGTCTAGACAGTTTTTTCCCTCAACTAATTTTGATCCATAGTTGGTTGAATTTGTGGATTTAGAACTCAAGGGTATAGATGGCTGGCCATCTTTATCTTTATTCCTTATCTTTATGATACAACCTGTGTTTTTATCTTTCCTAAGGTCCAAGATTCCCCTGTGACTATATGATGTCTGAAGACATTCAGAAGTGGACAGTGTCATTAAAATGTGGATATATTTTTCATTACCTTACCCACCCCCATGTCAGTTTTATTTAAAACACAAATACTTCCCAGGATCATTTCTAGAGTTCATTAGCTTCTTAAACAAACCCCAAAACAGACAGTTGTAAGCATTTTTCTGAATTGGGACAAAGCAAGAAAGCAGTGCTCAGAGTGTCACTGTGTCATTGTAAGGGGCACCGGAAGCTGTGGATTAGGCTGAACCTGCTTCTGAAGACATGATGTCTCTCAATCTTCGCAGATACTTTTGGAAGGGCCTGGCACATTGAAGTTTAGCAATTTTTGCCTGGCAAAAGTGGAAGGTGAGAATCTGGAGGAGTTCTTTTCTTTGGTGGCAGCAGAGGAAGGAGGAGGTGACAGCGGAGAAAACATGCTGAAGAAAGGCATGAAAGGTAGAGTCAAAGGTACGTGGACCTGGTGGCCTAAAGACCGGCACCCAACACGCATGCTCAGAGTGGTGTCAGACTTCCACTTTGCCACTCAAACACTGTGCTGAGAATAGTAATGGCAGGAGAATCCTGAACACATGCTAGCTTCATCCCAGGCCTGAAGCTTCCATGTGCTCTGATGCTGTGTCAAGCATAAGGACCTCAAGTGCCGGTGTCTTGTCCTTAGTGCTTCTCTTAGTGCCCAGTCTCTAGAACAGGATAGCCTTTATTCAGCCCTTAGGCACACTCTAATGGCTTGTTTGGTGCCTGCTCACAATTGCTGAGTGGCTGCTTTTTGCAGTTGAGGCAGATTTCTAGGAGTGTGTTCTTGGCTGGTGGTTTTGACAGTGAGGGAGGACCTGAGGTGTTAGGATTACAATGCTTAGAGCTAGAGAGGTGGCTCCATTGGTAAAGTGGCTCATGCTGAACAAGCATGAGGACCTGAGTTCATCCCCCAGAACCCATGTAAAAAAGTAAGGTGGGCCTGTGCATATTTGTAATCCCAGTGCTGGACAGGAGAACCCCTGGGGCTCAGCAGCCAGCCAGTCTAGCTGAATCCACAAGCTTCCACTTCAGTGAGAGACCCTGCCTCAAAAAATAAGATGGAGAGCCATAGAGGACACCCAATGTCAATTCTGGTGTCCACCCGCATATACATGTGTACCTGTATGTATAGACTCGTAGTCATACAGACACAGGCACATAGACCCACGTACAAACACAGCACAGACGCAGAGAGACACACACAGACACAGACACAGATCCCCCCCCCCGCCAGGATTACTGTACTTAAACTGGGTGTGGTTGTGGATACCTGTAGTCCTAGCACTCAGGAGGCTGAGGCAGGATTGTGAGTTCAAGGTCAGGCTGGGCTATAAAACAAGACCCTATCTCAACCCCTTCCTCAAAGGAAAAAAAACCCAAAATAACAAAACAGAAACGTGTATTTAGGGGAGAGTCAGAAGTGACATTTTGTGATGCTTTTTGGTGGATGTGATAAAGCTCTGTCCTCAGTCTTCACAGGGCTCCTGAGGCCACTGAACCCTCCTCTATGCCTCCTACCACTTATCCCTCCCAACTTCATGTGCTCTACTTGTTCAGTTTTTATTTAATGTATTATTTACTTTATGTGTACAACTTATGTAAGTGTTTTGCCTGCATATATGTAAGTGTATTCATGCATGTGATGTCCACAGAAGCCAGATGATGGTGTCAGAACCCCTGGAACTGGGGTTACAAATGGTCATTAGCCACCATGTGGATGCTGGGAATTGAACTCAGGTCATTTTTTTTTGTCTTTTTGAGACAGGGTCTCCCCGTAGCCCCAGTAGACCAGGCTGGCCTTGAACTCACAGAGATCCACCTGCCTCTGCCTCCCAAGTGCTGGGATTAAAGGCATGTGCCACCACAACTGGCCCCAACTCAGGTCTTTTGTAAGAGCAACTAGAGCTCTTAACTGCTGAGCCATCTCTCTAGCCCCTCTTGCTTTTATTTTTGTTGCAGAGCGTTAGGGATGGAACCTAGAGCCTGAACATGCTAGGCCATGGCTCATTCAGGGAGCTTCACCTCAGCCTTCCTGCCCTCTCTTTATGTTCAGACAGTACACCCTGCTTGCTGTTTCCTGCTGTGTCCTGTGGCTACCCACCCTGCTCCCTACTCCTGTTCCTCTTCCAGCCACCAGCTCTCTCCAGGAAGACTTCCTTACTTCCTTGCATCTGTGTTGGCAGGATCTTATCAGGCTGAATTTGTGGATATTGTTTTTTTCCTTCAGAATATTCTGCGTATAAATTTATCATCAATCTTAACTCATAAAATTAGAATATTCTGTGTATTCATTTTCCTCCCATTTGATTTTGAATATAAAGACTTTATATTTCTTTGTTCATTAGTGCTTTTATTTGATTATTGCACATTTACTACAAGCAATTAGGCATGTTCCACTGTTGTAGGATGATGTACTCTGAGCATAGCAGCCTCCATCGTTATCAGAGCAGCTGTGCCTACCTACAAGAAACTCAAGTCGACCTGTTGATGGTTGAGGTTTCCTTGCCTGAAGGAAGGATGTGAGGAGAGTCATTGGACCCTCACCTGACTTCAGTTCCTGTCCCTCACCTCTCAGCCAGCTGTGTATAATTCTGCACTAGTTGTACGTGGCCATGGTAATCTTCGGAGGCTCAGAGTATATACACGGGGGAGGTTGACCGAGGATGGAGTGCCCCATCTGTGTAGCTGTGGGATGTGCAGCTCACATCCATGCAGGAGTGAGACTGCTGCTGTGGCTGCGTTGAGGTCACCCATACTCCTCACTCTCACCCGTGCTCTGTCAGTAAGCTCAATAAACTCATTGCTTTCCCTAGTTGGATTTTGGTGGTGTTGGACTTTGGTTTGTTGTTGAGCACCAATGGATACAGGGTAGGGTTGCATCTGCCTGCAGCCAGAGCCACCAGGCTGGAACAGTGGAAATCTAAGAGCATGAATGCAGTTCGCTGTGCTTTTTCTGCTTGCCTCTGGCCTAGGAGCATGACAGATGCAGCCTCCATCAGCTTGGGCCTGGGGGGGCCTGGGGATCTCAGCCCCTCCATCTGACTTGGGATGGATATGGAGTTTGAATAAAACACCATGTTTGCTGTTAAGCCGTTGGGATTTTGGTGATACTGCTGCCTCAGTTATTCTACTCAGTGTAATCAAGGTTCTTTTTGTGACTAAGTAGATAACTGTATACACACATATGTATATGTACACACATCTATGTACACATAGGCCTGAATGTGGTACTCTTCTCAGATTGTTTCCAAAATGCTTATCTTCATAGGTACTTTCTGTAGCATTGTCTGAATAGGAGACAATAATTGTTTAAACCTATGATGATACAGGTATAAGAAGTGATATATTATTAGGGATATATTATTATTTGTATATGTGTGTGTATATGTACTTACTTGTGTGGCTATGTGCAGGTATGTGTATGTGTGTGTGTGTGTGTGTGTGTGTGCGTGCATGTGGAGGCCAGAGGTCAATGTTAAGTGTCTTCCTCCATTGCTCCAAAACATTTTTGGAGACAGAATTTTTCATTGTACTTGGAGCTCACCTGTCGTGTTACAATGGCTGGTCAGTGAGCTCCAGGTGATGCAGGAATGGGTTCATTTTCTCTATCAATTAAAGAATTAAAAGGCAAGAAAGAAATGTTACCAGAAGTCTTTGGGAGTCTCAGCCATCCTATGATATCTGGGAAATTGGGGCCCCCTCTTGGGGTTCTTAATCTCATAGTAAAAGAATTTAAGGATGCGCACAAATGGAAGCCTGAGGACAATTTATTACTGATTAAAAGGAAAACCTCAGAACAGGCGAGCTGTAAACCTCTCTGCTGCCTGGAAGGGAGGAGGAGAATGGCGGGAGAAGGAACACAAGCCATCCTGCGTGAGACAAGGCACTGTGGAGGTCAGCCACCTGGGGCAGGCAGCCATCAGTGGAGGGGAGCTTTAGAAAAAGTTTAGGAAGTTAGGGAGTTTAACAGCATACTCAGGCTCAGCCTGACAGCTGAAAGAAAAGGAAGAGAAGAAAAACTTCAAGAGAAGAAAAAGTTACAACTTTCTGAGGAAAGGTGGACAGACCCAGCTGAACCTCATGGTGGCTCCTGGAACTGCACTAGGGGGTGGGAATTCTGCGAAGGAAAAAGCACATTACCTTTTTTTTTTTCTCAACGCATATTTTTTATTGAATTTTTGTGCATTTCATATAATACATCTTAATCATATTTAGACCCTTCCCCTGCCCACACCCGCATAGCACCCCCCCATTCTTTCATTTATATTAAGGCTTTTTGAGTCAAGTTTCTGTATCCAGATGTCCCTTGGTATGAATTCATCTACTGGAGTCTAGTCAGTCTATCTAGAGTCACTCTCTTAAAGAAGATCAACTCTCCCTCCCCCAGCAGTAATCAACTGCCAGTAGTTCCTCAGCTAAGGCTGGGGCCTCCTGCTTATTTCTCCAGTTGCTGGGGTTTTGTCTGATTGAGTTTACATGGGTCTTGCGCATGCTGTCATCATTGCTGTAAGTTCATATGAGCAAGTTCCCAGAGGCCTGGAAGACCAACCCTCATACCCATCGTACACCAACCCTGGCTCTTACGATCTTTTTGCCTCCTCTTCTGCAATAGCCCCTAGGCCGTGGGTGGGTGAGGTTTAATATGGGAGTCCTATCCAGGGACACACACTCTGCAGTCTCTTATTCTCTACACTTTGGCCAGTTGTGGCCTTCTGTGTGCATTGCCATCTGTTGTATGAAGAAGCTTTGTTGGTGAGAGTTGAGGGATGCATTAGTATTCTCTACCCCTTGTTCCACTAGTTCCATGAGCCTTAGGTGTAGCGGTTCCATTGTAGATGTGTCTCTTAGGGTTGGGCATCTCACAGACAGTTAATCTCTCTATGTGACCAATTGTGGAACTCTGTAAATGTCTCCATCTGTTGCAAAAAGAAGCTTCTTTGATGAGTGGTGAATGGTATACTTGTCTGTAAACATAAGGATCCATATTTCGTTCATATTTTGCATATAATAAGAAATTACATTTGTCTAGGAATGTGACAGAGGTAGGATTTTTTCTAGGATCTTTGATCTCTCTAGCCACGTGTATTTGGCTTTGTTTACAGTGCCACACGAGCCTCCCCCCGATTAGATCGCTCTTGATAAAAGTACCACTACTGTACTGCTATAGCTTGCTGTGCTATGCAGGTCATTGCTGTGGTTATTAGGCTTTAAAGCAAGGTTGGAGTACTGATTGATTTTTTTCCCTTAGCAGCTTTCCTAGTATCCTCTAGAACTGTGAGAGCTAGTCTTCAGGGAGGAGGCTTCCAGGTCATTTCCAGCTTCATTGCTCCAAGTTCCGGAAAAACACATTATCTTAAAGTGAACCTGCCTTCTTAGGGGGTCCCCTAGCCTGGTCCCTGACCTGCCCCACTGGATTAACCCTTAAGGGAGGAGACAAGGGCATTTCTTCACCTAGAGGAAGGTTCCATTTTTTACAGAGGGATCCTGTTGTTTCTACCTCCCTCAGTCCCCATGACTTGTTGGTTACTTTTGAGACAGGGTCTACCCTTGTACCCCTGCCTGACCTGGAACTCTGCATATAGACTAGGCTGGTCTCAAATTCACAGAGATATGTACTGCCTCTGCCTCCTGAGTGCTGGGACTAAAGTGTACCACCATTCCCAACTGGAACTGGTTCTTTACATGGGTGCTTGGGGATCGGAATTCAAGTCCCCTTGCTTGCAAGACAAGCATTTTACCAACTGAGCTCTCCTTAGGTGCCATAAAATGCAATCTTAACATTAGAAAGCCTTTAGGGGTATGAAGTCCTCCTAAATGAAATTTTACCCCTATGCTATATGTTGTTTCCCTCCTGTCTTTTCATCTCACTGGCCCTCTCCCAGGTAGGTTTAAGTTAGAAACAGTCCAAAAGGCTAACCAAGCTGCTCCTGTCTTTGGTTTCCAGGCTCTCCGCTCTATAGAGCACCAGAAATCATCAAGGGGACCGACTTCTCCATCACCAGTGACCTCTGGTCTTTGGGCTGTCTGCTTTATGAATTGTTTTCAGGTGCTTACTTTGTGGTTCAGTATAAAATCAAAATGAGACTAAGAAAGCAAACCATGAGTTTAGTCTGTAGTTTGCAAATGCTTGGTTTTACACAATTTTTGTGTATACTGATTTGGCTAAATTGCTTGGTGTTGGGCTTATAGAGGCTCTTCAGAGCATTTTGATACCTACAGGTATCTAGAACATTGGAATACGTCTAGCTTTTGAAGACTGCTAGCAGAAATTTTTGTGACATTGGCTTCTGTTCAAATCACTCAGATGTGTTGAGTGATCCATAAAGCCTTTGATCGTGGTATTGACCCTGTGTGAATTTGCTTATTTATTTGGAAAACTAATTTTGCATTAGAGAAGTATAAAAATATATATGCAGTGTGTCTGGTAGGCATTTAACTATTAATAATTGCTTTTTTCACAATAAATTGTATGAGTCTTATATAATAGGGTAAATTCCTGTGAAATGTCTGTAGCTGAGATAAGTTTTGAATTATTGGTGATAGCAAACTGTTTAATTTTGCGAGTTAATGTGATTTCAGGGAAACCTCCATTCTTCTCAGAGACGGTTTCAGAATTAGTTGAGAAGATTTTGTATGAAGATCCGTTGCCACCCATCCCAAAAGGTAGGTTTCCTCTCGCAAGCACAGCTGATTCACACCTCACCTCATTAAAAGTACACCTTCTTCCAAAGCTGTTTTATTGATTCATAAACTGCCAAAGTTTTATGTGTGTGTATTTGTTATTTTTTAGTAATGAGTTCTTTCTCTTCTACTTCAATGCACTATATATATACGTATTTTTTATTTATGTGTATGTATGCATTGTGTATGCACATGCACATTGGCAAGTATGTGTGCCTGTTCAGAGGTCAGGTTCAGGTGTTCTAAAACTCAGGAGTCCACCTTTTTTTTAATTAAAAAATTTTTTTCTTTGTCTTTTTGAGACAGGGTCTCCCTGTAGTGGGGCTGGCCTGGACTTACTATTTGACAGGGCTGGCCTTGAACTCACAGAGATCTGTCTGCTTCTGCCTCCCAAGTGCTGGAATTAAAGGTGTGCACCACTATGCCCAGCTTAAAATTGATTTTTATTATTTTATGTTTATGAGTGTTATGTTTACATGTATGTAAGTGCACCTGTGTCATGCAGTTCCTGCAACAGACAGAAGAGGGCATCAGATCCCCTGGAACTGGAGTTATGTACGGTTGTTAGTCACCATGTAGGTGATGGGATTTGAAACCCGGTCTTTTGCAAGAACAGCCAGCACTCTTAATTGCTGAGCCATCTCTCCAGCCCCATTTTTTAAATTTTTTTGAGACAGGGTCTCCCTGTAGCCCCAGCTGGACTGGAACTTGCTATGTAGACCAGGCTGGCCTCAAACTCACAGAGATCTCACCTGCCTCTGCCTCCTGAGTGCTAGGGTTAAAGGTGTATGCCACCAGGCCTGCAGTACCTCATTCTAAAAGAAAAGATTTATTTTCATTATTTATACATATCTCTCTGTGTGTGTGTGTGTGTGTGTGTGTGTGTGTGTGTGTGTATGTGTGTGGGTGTGTGTCTGTGCCCATTAGTACAGGCACCTGAGGAGGCATTGAATCCCCTGGAGCTGCATCTATAGGTGCTTGTAAGCCGGCTGATATGGGGCTGGAAACCAAACTTGGGTCCTCTGTAAGAGCAGTAACCACTCTTAACCAGTTAGCCATCTCTCCAGTTCCAAAGTTATGTTTGACAGTAGTCCTTAACTGATAGTTCTTTCTTTGCTACTCTCTACAGAAACTGAAAACCAAATGCTATTAACAGTTTCTCTCATTTAAGAACATGAATTATTTGGTTATCCTGTATCACAAAATAGATTTCAAGAGCTCAATGCTTTCTCTTTGTTTTTATTTTATTTTATTTTTTTTTGGTGTGTGTACTATTTATTTAATGTGTGTACTATTAAATTCATATCCTATGTGGTTATATCTGGTGTGTCTAGGAAGAAATCAAGCATTTTCAGCCCTTGATGAATCTGAATGTACCTAGGAAGTCAAGAGAATCTTTTAAATTAGGTGTAATTGTCATATGTTAAGAATATCAGAACTGGGGCTAGAGAGATGGCTCAGTGGTTAAGAACACTGGTTGTTCTTGCAGAAGACCTGGGTTCAAATCCCAGCACCCACATGGCAGCTAACAACTGTCTGTAACTCCAGTTCCAGGGGATCTGGACAGCCTCTTCTGATCTCTGCAGACATTGCACAACATGGGTGCACTTATCTACATGCAGGCAATACATGCACACACATAAAATAAAAATAATAAATAAAATATTTGAAAAAAGAATATCAGAACTTTAATCATGCAAACTTAAACAATGTACTGCTGACAGTCATCTTAAAGAAAAGAAAGACCAAGGAAGGCATGTTCATAGCATAGCATAGCAACATCTTATCCACATTAGGCAAGAGCCGCTGTAGGATATTAAAGTTGGTATTGGCACATTCATCTTACCACCCTTTCATTTTGGAAATTCATTTGTTTATAGATTCTTCACTTCCCAAGGCATCCTCAGATTTTATTCATCTGCTTGATGGATTACTTCAAAAAGATCCTCAGAAGAGGTATGAACTGTTATTGAAGAAGTGGGATCTTACTTTACTCATGTGTTTTATAAACAAGTGTTTTTCTGAGATGGAGTCTCATCACATAGCTCCAGTTGGCCTTGAATGCAAGATCTTCCTGCCTCAGCCTCCTGAGCACTGTGGTTACAGGTCTGAGCTCTTCCTCCTCTTCCTTCCTTCTTCCTTTTCTTTATCTTGTCTTCTTTTCCCCGCCTTCTCCCTCCTCCCCTTCTTCCTCTTCCTCCTCCCCCTCTTCTTCTTTCTCCTCTTTTTTTTTTTTTTCCATGTTGGGGCAAGTGTTCTTTCACTGAGCTATAACCCCAACCCAACACAACAAATAACTGTTCAAATTAACTGAAACAAAAGATGTCTGAGTTTGTCTTAGGGTTTTTTTTTAATGTCCACTTTGTAGGCATCTTCAGTGATAAGGAACTTGCATTGTTTCTTTTTTCACTTATTTGAACAATTGCCCAGTTGATGTATTTGCGACCCTGAAGTCCCAGAAGTGCATTTCTTTCCATTGTATGTTTCAGGACAAAACTGTTCAACTCTTCTGAATTAAGAGTCATATTGTGCATACAGCTGATGTTCTGTTAACAGGGAATATTTTAATGTTGCCTTTATGATTTTTTTGGTCTTTTTGAGACAGGGTCTCTCTGTAGCTCCAGCTGTCTTGGAACTCAGTATGTAGACCAGGCTGGCCTTGAACTCACAGAGATCTGCCTGCCTCTGCCTCCCGAGTGCTGGGATTAAAGGTGTGTACCACTACATCCGGCGTCTTTATGATTTTTAAAAATTTATTTTTTGGGGGAATTTCATACATGAGTATTGTATTTGCATTGTTTCCACCCTTCCCAGTTTCCCTTCAACTCTTCCTGTATACCCTCTCCCTCAGAATTTCATGTCCTCTTCTCTGATTATTATATATATGTCCTAGTTTGTTCTTCATTGCTGTGACAAAACACTCTGAGCACTACCAACTTGGGGAGGAAAGGGTTTATTT